AAATACTTTATGCATACATTTAATCAGCAGTTAGTGGTAGATGGTCCAGGTGATGCAAGCCTTCTCACTAAAACTAAAGACACCAAAGGGTTTAGATAAAATATGGGTAGGAAAGAAGCAGGTTTGATTAAGAATAATTAAAGTAACAATGTAGGGTTGTATTTCCCTAATAAACTTCAAGCAATAAATGGAGATCACATTAGTAGAACATAATAAAGAAGTGGTCGCAAGAATTCCAGTGCGACAACATTTTTATAGGGAGGCATCAGCCAAGAGATACAACACTCATCTCAATGCAGATCACCTGGAAGTGAATGAAAACTTTTAGCATTCATTCAGCTTGGTAGGAGAGTATTCTGTCCTTTTCTCAATGCTAAAGTAGTCTATAAGGAAAATAATTTGTACTCTGCATGCTGCTATGAAATTCACTTTGTATTATACTGTTCACTGATCAATTCTCTGGTTCTTTCCAAACGTCCCTCTAAAACATCTGTCAAACTCACAAGCAGCAAAACTGATTCTGATTGGATGAAAGGTAAAATGAAGACAGCGTGAACAAATAATTACTACTAGGTCAGAAAAGGGAAAAATTAAATAAATTACATTTCTAAAAAGCACACATTTTTATCAGCTATGAAACTTATGTATTCACCATTGTATGAAAACAACTTCACAACGGTCTTGGCTTATAATTAAATGTTTTCTAAAAACCATTTTACATTTGCTACTTTACCCTCTGATTTTAAAGGTTTAGAAATAATGTCTTCATCTGGACTGTGGACTCTAGAATTCGTATACAAGTAATAGACAACAAATGGCTCTGCCCGTTTCACAAAGGCAACAGCTCCTGTTGGTGACAGGTCTCCTGACAGCCAGTTCAGAGGGAGAATGGAGAAGAGTCACCTCCTTGCTCTCATCCACCTTCACCCAGCACCAAGTCGATTTTTTTAAGATTATGCCAAATCTTTGACTGAAGACTCAAGTCTGCAAGTGGTTGTTGGAAGGCTGCATGTCTAGTGTTAGAAGAGAGAGTCAGAATATAAACTGAATTTCTACCAACAAAAATGTATCACAAGAAAAGGGGCCTGTTAATGCTCACATCTTTATATTTTATTTACATTTTTGCACCAGCAAGGTTGGCCTTGTAGGAAAACTCCACTTCCAAAACTCACTCAAATCATTGTGGGCAAATGGAAGAGAGGTACAGGGAGACAATGCAAGACAGATGGGAATAACAGGAGTAAAGTGAACTAGGTGGCAGGATGTGACAGTCCTTTGTAAGGACTCTGAGTAGAAACAGGACAGAATTAGAAGCCCTAAGCCCATCAACTTAGTTATTATATACATCAGGTGGCTATCCCATACCAAGAAAACAAGTTTGTTTTTTAAAAATTTGAATCCAACAAGCCTTGTTTTCTATTGGTCAAATGGGGAATATAGGAAATCATTTTTTAACTTTGACTCGGTAGGAAACTCTACTAGCATCCAATAACTGTTCTGAGCGCCCCTACCCAGACTCATTAGTGCTAAAGATTTCAAGGAAGTAATTCGGAAGGAGCATTGCTGCCCCCTAAGTTAGTTCACACCCAAGTTTTGAGAGGATGAATTAATCTCTTCTCAAATATTTAAAAACATCTCTCCAAGGTTTTTTGAAGGCAGTTAATGTCTTCAACTCAAGCAAGTTTAAGAAGCAATCTGTAGTAGGGCTATGGATTATGCACACATTCAAACATGCACATATGTGTGTGAGTCTGTGTATTTGCACATGGAGGCATGCACATGTTATACAATGACACATAAAACCCAACACGTTAGAAATTAATAACAAAAGAGATGTCAGAAGACATTCAAAAGACAGCAAATTTTTTCTAACTTTTTTCTTTAAATAGAGAATGTGTGAGTTAGGCACTTGGTTATCTGTAAGCAGCAAGTATTCCTGTTAGCATGTGCATGTATATGTGCATGAATTTGTGTTTTAAACACCACAGTAACAAGCAGAATGCAACCAATGCTACCATGAGACAGTACTGTGTGGTAGTGTCGTGTCTCTCTGTCTCACACACTTCTGGAAAGAAATCACACACTAGAGAGGCCAAGTCACCTCCTCCTTGTCCCACACAGAGGACACTGTGTGGGTAAGGCAGCCAGAAGACTGCTATGTCTCACCTGAGCAGAAATAATTGGAGACATGATTTCAGGGTTTCTGTGCAGGGGGAGGGAATGAAGCAATTAGTGGAAATGCTAAGGGCAAAGTGAGTGGGCGCTCTCATCCCTCTGCCAACTCCAAGGCTGGGAGCCAACCCTCACTGTCATACTTGCCCTAATGAAGAGGGAAGGGTGGGCTCTGCAAATCCCTGGTATGCATTTCAAGTTATGTACAGATATGTCCATACTATGAGGTAGAAGAAAGGTCAAGATGATCACCGTGAGGGAAACAACTGGGATTAATTTTACTTAGATCTGAGAAACCCTAAAATTAGTATCTTAGCAAAAGCATTTGTAATAATACAGTAGGGAAAGTAGTTTACTGTAATAGAAACATCCTATTCAAGATGATTAAAAACTCAAAAATCCTTCAAAAAATTTTTTTAAAAACTTCACTGGCCAGGACTAAAACATGTTTTTCAGGAAGGAAAAAAACCAGCATTTGTGTTTTACTACCCAACTAATGTAATCGGCACATGGAAGTAGATACATAAAACAAATTCTAGTGACATGGTCAACTGCTTGTCTCTCCAGTCTCCTACAGCAGACAGATGATGCTAATACAAGAAAGCTCTGGATGGAAAATAAAAGCCCTTTGTTTAATTATTAACCCCTCCTACTGTTCAACTTCTGCCCAGTATGTATTTTCACATAGAATGTTTATTGAAGCCTTCATGTCATCACTAGTTTACCACTATAAGATTATAAAGTAGCATTTGACAGGAGAACTCAGGACTTCACAAATGCTTAACTACATACTCTAGCACTGAACTACACCTTCAACATTAAAACACTGCTATTAGTACCGTAATTTAGAAGTAAGAAAACTGAGGGTCACGTTAAGTAACACACCATTAAAGTAGAGAGACCCTTAGAAGCACCTACATCACCCTGCCTTCAATGACTTCATGTGATGGGTAAGGAGCATAAAGTCTCTATTTTCTAGCAAAACCAATACTTCCAGCTAGGCACAGTGGTTCTATCCAAACCCTCAGTGAGGCAAAGCAGTGTGTTGTCTCTATAATCCCAGCACAGCAAAGACTGGAGGATCATGAGCTTATGAGTGCATACTTAGATGCACAAAGACACACAGACAGACACCCACACACAGGCATACACAAACACACACAAATTTCTTACAGGAAATACAAAGGATGTCTAAAAGCTGTCATAGATCAATTCATGCTCCCCCAAAATTTATATACTAGAAGCCACAACTTGTTATATTGGAATGTAGCTATGTTTGGAATATATAGCCTTAAAAGATGCAATGAGACCCTTGGGGTGGCCCTCAGCAACAAGTCTGACTGGTGCCCTTGTAAAAAGATGAAGTCCAGAAGCACTAGAGGCGAAGACCATGCTAGTTGAGCCATCTAAAGACTAAAATGCCCTCAGAATAAAAGTAAGTCTGCTAACAACTTACCTCTAGGACCCTTCTTCCAGAGCTACAAGAACATAAACTTCTGTTGTCTAAGACACCCAGCCACCTCAGAACAGTCTATGCCCACACTACCCCATCATCCTTCATGGTTCAGGAAGTTGTAAGCTAGAGGCCCTAGGAAACCAACACAGGGGAAATGTCATTTAGCAGCACGCAGTCTGCCACCACAGCAGCGGCTTCACTGGTCTAAGTATTAAACATCTTGGTTTTGGTAATGAAGCTGGGAAGGGTTCTATCCCTCAAGGACAGATTGCAGATTGTGCTTGTGTCACCTAAGCATACTCCTTCCAATGTCTTTCCCTTATGCTACTATCTCTCTCATGGAAACACAGCTGAGAGGTTCCTACAACTCCAACACACATGCCCAAACAAGTGAGGTACATGATAAATTAAAAGCATTTCAAGACATGGCCTGGTGGCGTTACCTCAGATCTTGCTAGAATAACATGACATTTATAAAAAATACAACCCACTGAATGTTTGGCACTGCTGGGGAATGAAGAGTATGTCCACTTAAGAGCCAATACCCGAGGCTGTCAAAAAACTCAAGCCAGAGTTTCTTCTATAAACATTACCTATCTTTTAAAATTACACAGTCTAGGAGGTGGAGAAAATGTCTGCTTATTTCCATGTCTCCTTTTGCTTAAATACAATAAACATAAACCACATGCAATAATATGTTAGATATGCAGTAAAACCACGTTGATGGAACAGCACTTTGTACCTGGCAAACAATCCCCACACTAGACTCTTCATTGGGCCACCCTCACTCCAATGACACCTACACACAGTGCAGTCTTTAACAACATGGGCCTCCTCTAATCCCAGGGCACACTGATGGGGTATTTACAGGTTACATTTCCAGATACCAGCCGCTCACTCACCCTCCTTAAACCCTACAGAACTTAACATCTGGAAGGATAAACTCAGCACACACGACAAGGGCGTGCAGTCACTGAGGAGGAGTTCCCAAGCAAGGAAGATTTGCCAGATTCCCTCTGAGGTCCAGTCCCTGAAAGGCCAACTGTGGTATGTTTGAGTTTCCATCAGGCCTGGTACTTGTTGGCTGCTGCTATGCTCAGTATGAACCCCACTGCCCAAGTATTCTATAAACATCTCGCCCTTCTGCCGAGAGCTGCCTGCCTAGTCTTTCTTCCTGGGAAGGAGAATATGCTATTTGAGAGCTGTAGGATGAATGTTAACTAACACTTGGAACACAGCTAACTGCTCTCTTTTCCAGGTCAACAACTACTCTTAAAACAACAACAACAATAACACTGCACATGCACACATGTGGGTGCACACACAGAGACATAACAAGAACAAAAGAAAGAGGAATCTAGATTTTTCTCACCATGTGCCACCCAGCCATGTTTACACTGATCACAAGTCCGAAGGTTAATCTTCCCCGGCTGGAAACACTCACACGTGCAATTTACCAGTGTGCAGCGGATGGCCTGAAAACAGAGAGCAGAAGACAATCAGCATCGGTTCCAAAGCAATTCGTTTCTCATTGATTTCAGCAAATAGTACCCATCTTTACCTTTAAAGGTTCTATGTTGGTAAAGTTCTGAAGACTTTTGAAAGTAAATTTTACATCAAAATATTTTACAACAAAGGGTTGAGAAAGCAAAGCTCATTCACGAGCACAACAGTTTAAAGCCTTTAAGTACAGAGGTAAAACAAGGGGAGACCACGTGGATAAAGGATTATGTTTCCAAAGGATTTCTAACACTGAATCTCCAAAAGAAAAACAAGTCTGCTGCTGCTGTGTATGTTTATTTTATTCAGCTACTCCACAATGATGCAAAACAGAGAGTACATACTCAAGAAGATACCAATCAAATATTGGCCAAGGGAAATGTATAAAAAAGCAAAATATGGCAGACAAAAAATATTAGAAAATCCCTCTTATTAGCTTTCATTTAAATGCATATAATTATTTATCATTTCCCAATTTCTTGTTTTTTTACTTACTGATTCTAGTTTCATTCCTATTTTAAAACAAAAGCAATTTTTTATCTTAATAATGACACGAAAATAAATTGAAACTTTATTTTGAGATCAGATATAAAACAGAAAAATGTTTACATGGAGACTCTACACTTGGAAAAGTACAATTCTATCCTAGAAAACACACACACACATGTCTTTCAATTCTGTATAAGCAATTTAAAAATAATCTCACCAGTCATATTATAAAGTGAATTCTTAGAAAGCTCCATAAATGGAGCATAACTTTCCTTGACTGAAACCCATGCTTATAAACTGTACTAAACGTGCTGACCTGTGCCAGAAGACACCAGTTAATACATTTACCTTATATATATGACTTTTGGGTGCATGGAAATTCTAGAAGCAGGAGGGATTTAACTTGATCACTAACCTATTAAAATCTACTGTGACTATCTGAACTTCTGGAAAACATCTCCTAGAGATTTAGATATAATCAAGGATGATAGGGATGGGGTGGGGATCCTTCAAGAAGTTTTACCTGAAAGTGCAGATAGGTACTTGATAGCTACACTTACATACTCCAAAAGCTCAACTTCCCAAAAGCATTTGGGTTACAACATAAACTATTTCCCTTGTATCAGTGTTCTAGATACTATAAACATGTTTGTGCCAACTCTGTCTGCAAAGATCTACTCAATGGATTTCTCCCTACTTACAGGCCATGCAGGATTAGACTTTTTGTTTCACAAATGAATGCTCTCTCTGTGGGTGCCTCCTTATTTCAGAAGTGACAGTCCTCAGCCTATACTCCCTCAGGCTTAATTCTCCCTTCTGTTCCACACTAAAGAAATACCTAATTGCGCAATCCATCTGATATTTCAGAGTTCCTTTTAATGTCAGTCATCAGATTGTACCTAATCTAGGTTACAAAAGTTGGGTGCGTGTTTTAGTGATTAAAGGAGTAGATGGGCATGAGGAGAAATACTCTTCTAATACTCTTCCAGTTCCCATACTAAGATATATCAGAACATGTTTGCAAACAGCTTAGTCCCATAACATGCTGATTGAGTAATGATCTCAAGATGTTGTTGTACTATGACCAAAACAAAAGTTTAGGCTACAATGTTTCCACTAAAAACAGGGTGCTTTACAAAGTATCCAGTTATAAGCTCAGATATGGAGACTATATTAACATTAAAAATACTTGAAGTACATTAGTAAATAATTTTTAAAGCCTCGGATTTATCAAAATCGAGGAGTGTGTAATAAAAGGAAATGATATTCCAAGGACAATATTTGACTCTAGGATAAAACAGTATGTTACACACACACACACACACACACACACACACACACACACACACACGCATGCGCGCACGTATGAAATTAGCACTGGCTAACTCATTCATTCATTCAGAACTATTTTAATAACCTGATCCATCTGATTCATCTGGGAATTCAATCTTCATCTGGTTCATGGGGGAATTAAATCTTTTCAAATGCTTTCTTAAGATTTTATGGATCCGATTCCTTTTACATGCAAATACAAAACACTGGAGCACCCCAACCCTTTTATATATTAACACTTGGGCCCCGGAAGAGGCATTTTGTATTTCTATAAATTCCAGAAAATCTATCTTTTTAAAACTCAGACTTGCACAGACCACAATTCCTCACTAAAGGTATTACATATACTTAAACAATACAGTTTAATACATATTTTGAGTAAGAGACTACTGTGGCTTCAGAGGATGCTTTGTTTTAAATAATGTTTTTGCAATGGCATAAAACTTTGACATACTATTTATTCACAACAGAACAGACCCAATGCAGGAACACTTACAGAATAGGCTGTCCTACACTATCAGATCTGGTTAAGCCTCAGAAGTGGCCATGTGCTTCAGGGAGACAGTGGGAAGGGCTGCAGTGGAAGGGCCTTCAGTCCTCTTGAGCATCTTCCACTCCTCCCTTAGCTAACGATGGAGGACTTCTCCTCTGCTGGGAACCCTCACAGACCTGTACACACTGCACAGTCTGAATGAGACGCTGGAACACCAGAAGGGAGGAAGGTCGCAGAAGCTTCAGCCAGCTAGTCCTACTTCTTTCTGCAGGAAGCAGAGTTCAGGCTGGCTAACACGGACCTATCTGCAGGAGCTCACATACCCCCTCACCTACCTTGTAACTCGCCCACTCAGCTCTCAAGAACATGCTGCAGGAGCTACCCTATCCCTCTAACCTACCTTGTAACTCTTCCCATCTACTTTCAAGAACAGCAAGAAACATGTAAACCCACAGCGCCTTGAAATTAATCGCCCCTGCTTACCTTTACCGTGGGTTTCTTGAAAGAGAAATCTATGCATGCCCAAATCCATGTCTCTACTTCCTCATGCCATCTACACTGGAATTCTGCCAACTGCATTTTGTCCACAGGCTCTTGAAGCTGCATTCTCTGAAGCAATGCTCTCAGTACATTTGGTTCCTCTTTTAGTCTTCTCTTCCTCCTAGACCTTGGGGCAACTTACAATACTAACTTGCCTTCATTCCCAAGTAGCAGAGACTGACTATCCAGCTTTTCAGGAAGCAACTTATCTTTCACCACTGTAAATAAACACAGGTTCTGCCCATGACCAGGTTCTTCATTCTTAATTTGGCAATTCCACTCTCTCCTACATATCAGCATCATGCAAACAACATCACTTCGGAGCCAGTCACTGTATTAAGTGGCAAGACATGAATGACAGAGTCCTTATGTGCAAGGCTTGCCAACTTGGTATTTGCAGGCAGTGGGCTTGCAGACCCCAAGAATAAGAGTTCTTAAACAGGGTAGAGAACTACCATCTATTCCTCTCTATTCTTCCATCCAAATACAATCACTTCTTACTGTGCATTACTATTAATAACAGCTAGATTAATTAATTGAATGTTGTACCATTTTCCAGGCAATGTACTAGATAACTTACCAAGAAAAGACTATGAGCTTGACTCCCTTACTCCTTTCCTGTCACATATGTGGGACCTGAAGTGATAACTAAGTACCTTGCCGGAAGTCACCCGGGCATCTCAAACACAGGTGTATGTCTGAGTGCTCTGCACCAATGGCTAGCGATCACCAAGGGCTGTTCCTGCTCAGAGAGTCTGTCACAGAGCAGTTTCATTGACTTATGTCTCACTCCAAAATTCATCTGTCCTTGATTTTCCTGGCCTTCCACTCTCATTTGTTAATACCTGAATTCCAGTTGTGTTTTCCCTAGACCATTCAAAATGGCTCCTAATTAATTTGTTCGTTCTTCTTTTCTCCTTGTCAAACCAACTTTCTCTCCACTTGGTCCTACTGTATGGGGATTGCTTTATTTATTATCTTTGCCTTATCATCAGTTTCTTATTTTTGACAGCAGAGCTCATCCAATGTCTTTTCTTCCCTTTCATTACGTTTGCTCATTGTATTTGTGGTATGGTGTGTGTGTGTGTGTGTGTGTGTGTGTGCACGTGCGTGTGCGTGCACACGTGCATGTGCAACGGCTTACTCAAGTATGCATCTATGCTCTATAGTGCACACATAGAAGTAAGGACAACTTTATAGGAATTGGTTTTCTCCTTCCACCCTGCGGGTTCCAGAGAGCTGATTTAGGTCATCAGACTTGGCAATGAGTCATCCTCAGCTACATATGAATATGAAACCAGAAAGATATGCATGAGATTCTCAAAAAAATGGAGGTATGGAGTTCATCGAGCACCCTTTTTCATCTATTAATAATGGTTACCATGAATTACATGGTAATTTTGTCAAAGGATTTCATTAATCTACATAAGGCATAGGGTACCCTGGCTGGATAGGTTAAAGCTCAACAAATGACAACTATTGATGATCTCAAGAAACTTTCTGGATATATATAGGAATAGTTCATATTTTCACTTAGGAATCTTCCTACTGTATTAAATTCTATTCCAGTATTTTGTCAAATATGTAACATATATTTAATACTAATAAATCAGTGACTGCATACATATGTATATTTATATATAATCAGGTTAAGCTAATGACAAATATTATTATTTCCATTTAAAGGCTCTAAAATGATATTAGTGGAGGAACTCTACCAATTACTATTCACTGTGTTCCTCTACCTATAGCACAATAGGGGAAGTGTACAGACTCAAATGTGTATCAGGAACAGTAGCAGTAACTCACAAATGCATAGTTCCATCTAGTTGGGATGCTGAGGCAAGAGGGTTGCTTAAGTCCAGGGGTTTAACAGTGAACTGGACAATGTAAGCAAGACCCATCTGAAAAAGGCACACATGAAACCTGAAAGATAGTTGGTAAACAAAGTAGTGACATGGGTTTTAATATTAAATAAGGATATAGTTTTGAGGTATTCTGGCTCAACCCCAAAAAATCTATTCAAACCCTGATTTGACTATCGGTGAAACAAGACTGGTTTCATTACACTAGCTGGCTCTAACTCTGAGACTATATAGACCAAATATTAGGGTTCCTACA